CACAATCTGTACACATTTTGCCACAACACTAGACAGGACAAAGCTCATAGGACAACAGCAAAGATTGAGGAGGCAAAGCTTTTAACCTACAGGGATCACACAGGTCAGACTCCCTCCTCTAATATAAGAAAGAAGCAACAAACACATTTTACACCTCCCCAGAGCAGATCGGAGCGCAGACATTTTTCTCTTTTAATATAGAGGTGGTCCATTCATCTTCCCACACCATCCGCAGAGCCGCAGGGGGCAGAGCTAATGAGGGTAAAATATGGACATTTAGGGGTGCGTTTGGGAACCTATGCTGAATTTTGGATAATCCACAACTCATCTTTGTCTGGTTTATTACACAAAAGGGAGAACAAGAAAGAACAGTCAAGACCACAAAATGATTGCCATAGAAAAGCCATAAAATAAGAACATTTGTAAGCATTTTTAACAAGTTATAAATATGCGGTGTGTAGTTCGGATTACGATTAAAAATATATGTTAATGTATGTATATTGGTATTATTTTAGAGGCATGCCTTATTTTATTTGGACTTTTATAACTTGTTTGCACCAAGAGCCAAAGCAATTTCCTAGTTTGTGACTTCCCGTTTCTCACAGTGATTCTGATGGTTAGTTATTAGGAAAATACTTTAGCGTTGCTTGTGATTCAACTTGTACAGAAACATGGACAAAGTGAAACCTGGGAGAAAGGGCTATGGAAGAAAAAAATTCAAATTACAAATCAAACAATGTGTAAAAACTATACTGATATCTATATTGATGTGAAATTTACATTATGTGAAAAGAATATTCATATTTCTCTTTTAGGTGAGTTATATTGATACTATACTACTTTTCTATGCTATATGTACAGAATTGTTGAACAAAATCATCAAAACTGTAATTCAACAGAACTCCTTCCCTTTCCCACAATTTAATTCAAACCCTTTTTGCCATCTTTTCCATATGGATAAGGAAATGATAACACATTGAGGCAGTTGTAATGTTTAAATAAATTCTCAACGGCTTCAGAGCAAAGGAATATTCTGACAATCTTCCATCTAGTCACAAACCAAAAAACCCAACGTAAAACATTTGACAACCACTTTTCCATTTGAGAGCAGTTTATTTTCCAGTCCTGGAGCTTTGGTCGTCTCTCTCACCTCCTGAACGCAGACACATTGCTCTATTGGCTGTAAAATAGACACAGTGGTCGATTTCTAAGCGGATTATGAGGGAAGGGGAACAAGAGGAGGTTTTCAGTCAGTGCCAGAGCTCCCAGTCTGAGGGGGTCCTACTGCAGGAACATAGGGACATATACATGTTGAACACAGGGTTTGGGGATGGGTGATAGTAAAGCCAATCTGTCCGGATCACTCGCCTCGTCCAATTTAATTAGATTGAGCAAGACGGGTATAAACCTGGGTGTGAAAATGCAGTCCGCTTGGCACAACAGGGATTTAACCATTTCTACTCCAGTTTATGCCTTCATTTAACCACAAACACGAATACTATTGGGACATAGCTTGCAGATGCATTCAAGGGCACAGGGGAAAGTTACTGAACTATAAATATAAATAAAAAATGTTCCCATGTTTGGTCAGACCGGTTTGGGAGTAACACCAAAAAAACAGGTCTGTATGTAATTCTTTGTAAACATACCAACTGATCATAAATGTATTTTATGCATTTTTTTTTCACAGCCACATTTTCTTTCATTAGTTTGTGTTTTACAAATTTACAACATACTAACTGAAGTATGATGATCGTTGAGTCTTTTTTTCCCTAAACTTTTAATGTGATTCAAACCTGATGCTTATCGAGTAGTTGTTGATGAAATTCAATGAAAAGTGTTTAGATTGTTTTTCTTGGAATCAATTTGACACAGCTCGTCACCGAACTTCTCACAAACAAAACATAATAGCTGAATTACTTTGGGATAGGGACACACAACCGACAGAAGACAGAAAATATTTGTCTGTCACAGCATGAAAGCAGCGGATGTGAAAACAAACGCGATGGAGACGTGTTCGGTCTGATGAGTAGAGTAAACAGGAGTCGAGCCGCGTAATGAAGAATGTGATGGTCGGTTGCAGACTGAGTAGCAGAGAGGATTATGGGGGATGATGGACGGGCTGATGGAGTAGGACTCGCTCCAGTCGAGCTAACAAAGTGCAAACCAGCATCAAAACACCACCTGAGACACACTGCCCCTGGATTAACAGGCTAGGAGCAAATATAGTGCTGCTGATAAAAGGGGAACTATGTGGTTTGCACTGGAGGGAGCAAATAATCATTTTAAAGTACTTTTTACACTAGTTGAACGTACCTGAGAATTGCTGTATAAATGCATATATTCCTTTCAATGACAAATTGAGAAAAATACTTGCAAGCATTCGTATTGTGTGTGGGGTTTAGCACTACACAGATCTGATCAGTAACAAGACACGTTTATCACTCCCTACGACACAACAAAAGAGAATTTGCACCGTTAAACCTGGGTTAATAACTTTAACAGTCCATGTAGTTTGTCCAACAGTTGTGCACAAATCGGCCAAAACATGTCTTCATATATTTAGAAACATGTAATCATTTGGGTATGTAAGAAAGAGCCCTGTAGGTCACTATTTGACTCTTTGGGTGGAGTGAGGGTGGACCCCTTTTATCGTTTCCGTCTTAAAAAGTTGATATGTGACAGAGGCCAAATGCATGACAGTGAGAGTTCCATTGTTGGGATTTGAAAGATACATTCCCCAGATCTCAGACTTATTAACGAAGAAATCATCATATTTTGTAAAGCGTAGTCTTTTATATTTTATAGATTGACTAGATATACAAACTGGCAACACAAGAGGTGACCGAGTTGACTAAAGCGAGTTTCAATTTACACAAGGTTTCTGATTTGCGGAAATATACCAGAGATGTCATGAATGGTGTAAGTCTGTGTCTCAGTTGTAAATCTCTCTACACATCAGAAGTGAAATGGCATAGCAGCAGCTCTTACATCAAAACCATACATCAAATGACTTGGATACTTTTCCCAGTGCGCTTCAAAAAGTCTGAGAAACCTAATCCTGCATCGCTCCCAAAACAATAGCCCCTTCCCTACAGAAAGTGAGGCTTAAGTGACAAACCCCAAACAATTAGAGATCTCCTTTCAGAGTAGGACCAGGAGGTATTTCTGCATGTCTACTTGAGCCCAGGCCGCACCCTCCGAGGCGTCCCAGGAACAGAAGGGTATGAGTGGAGCTCCAGGCCTGCGGGGCTGAGAACCTGCCCCACACCGGCTTCTGTGTCACCGCTATTGAAGTGCAGAGGTGGGGACGACAGGAGGCCAGGCTGAAGAAAAACTCTCCCTTTGAACTGAGAAAGAAATCTACATCTGCTCTAGGGATTTTGCCCAATATAATTTATAGTAACTCGTTTTGCTTATTCACAGGCAGGAACCGGCCGAACTGAAATAGATGACAATTTTTTGAGATTCTACTCTGCCGATAACAGATATTTTAGTTTTGTTTAATCTGTATCGAGTCTATTTTAAAATTAGATATGACACAAACAAATTGATTCACAATTGGTAGAGTGGAGGTTACCAGAATGATGAATGCCTATTGTCTCACTGACTACAGAATTCTACATGCTCTGAGCTTTAATATCACGTCTGGGAGGGGAATAGATGCAGAGCTGAAGTTGAATGACAGCGTGATCTAACGTACATACTTTTACAGTTGTGAATAATAGGTGTATAAGTGAATTATGTCTAGGCTGAGCTTTAAAACCAGGTATAACATGTCCATATTGGCAGAAATAAAGTCAGGATCAGGATTTTTCAGGAAGTCGCAAACTTTTCAGATTCAGATTCAGTTTATTTGCCATTTGCAGTAAAAAAAACCACATTGGAATACATTAGCAAAAGTCTCCAGTGTGCACAGACAAATACAGACATAAAACAACATTAAAAGACAAAAATAAAACAAATAAAACAGTAAACAAATGTCACTGTGAAATCGATCGACTAAAACAGTTTCAAAACAAGTGCAAATCATTAAAGTGCTCTGTTCACACTGATAACAGCTTGTGGATAAAAACTGTTAGCGTAACGAGATGTCCTGCATCTCAGAGAGCGATATCTTCTGCCAGAGGGAAGAAGCTGGAACATGGCTTTCCCAGGGTGGCCAGAAGAGTCACTGACAATCCTAAGAGCTTTGTTTAAAAGTCTGGATTTATAAAGAACCTCCAGAACAGGAAGCTCACAGCCCACGGTCCTCTTTGCAGAGCGGAGCACCTTGTTTAAAGCTCTCTTTTCTTTATCTGTGATGTTTCCAAACCACACAGACACAGAACCACAAGTAAACTCTCAATGGTGCCGCGATAAAAGTTAAGCAGAATCTTAGAGTTAGTGGTAAATTCTCTAAGTTTTCTTTGGCTCATGGTAAATCTAATCATAAAGTAGAAAATCTTCATCAAATTTGAGTCTATAAATACACATAAGACATTTAACAGAGCAGATTATTGAAAAGTGTCCAGAGGTATGAGATTACAAAGTTAAGATTTGCCCTTGAATCTCAAAATCTCATTCTTTCTGCATTGGATCTTTTCACTGCACATTATTGCGTTGCAACTGAAAATAGTTATGACTCAGTTTTCCCGTTATTGACCTGTGTAGACGCTGCTTGTTCATGTTTGAGTGGGATGCATCGATCGCTGTCCTGGTGCAGCTGCAGACACGGCCTCCGTAATGAGCTTTCGCAGACACAGACCGAGCGCGTGGTAAAGAGACAGGACCACCGACTCCGCCATAGACACCAAAACACTTGAACAGCCAGACTGACCATGCTAAATGTTAGAAAGATAATTATTCACCATCCCAAAGATATAACTGTACATTTATAATTGGACAAGACTTATATTCATAGCACAGTTCATACAAGGCAAGTCAAAAGAAAACAATTCATTTAACACGTGTCTATCGCCTATATTAGCAGGTTGTAATAAGCCATCATGGACCATTCAAGCTAATTAGATCCACAGATAATTATACCCATTGAAACTGATTGCAATTAGTTACTTAAACTTGGGGGGGGGATAATGATAATACATGGGGCGGCACGGTGGCTGAGTGGATAGCACTCTCGCCTCTCAGCAAGAAGGTCCTGGGTTCGAATCCTGGCCGGACCAGGGCCTTTTTGAGTGGAGTTTGCATGTTCTCCCCGTGTCTGCGTAGGTTTCCTCCGGGTACTCCGGTTTCCCCTACCACTAAAAATATGTACAATAGATCTGGCATGCGCCTCCTGTTCGGCGACCCTGCTCCCATCTCTGTGAGGAGTGAGAGGACAAGTGCCCAAAAAATAACAATTGTAAACCGCTTTGTGACTCTGGTCTGTGAAAGGCGGTATATAAATAAAGCTTACTTACTTACTTACTACATTATAACATCACACCAGGACAAGAGCAGACATTTCCTGATACATATCGATCTATCCTGGGACTAAATGTTGTGGTACATTTAAAAAGTACTATTTTGTGTCTAAAAACAGCAAATTGTTTGAATAATTGTTGTGGTTTATTGTATCTCATTAATACTGAAAGATCATGACAATGCTAACTTAGATAGCAATTTTGTAGAATAAGAACATAGTGAAGAGTTAGCGCCACTATTTTATCATATGGAGACATAGAAATTCTAAAGTAAATAAGTAATAAGGCAGGATTCTAAGCCCTGTAGAGCAATATTTCATAAATGTGATAAATGTTGAGGCTGGTGTCTTGTGTGAGGATGAAGAGGTGGCCTGGGACTGTATCCATAATGCATCTTCCTCAGATGTTTCCACAGCAACAGCCCGGGACAGCAAACCTCCCACGAGACCAGAGCGGCCCCACCACAGGCCAAAGTTCAATTAAGGGTAATTTATTTCAGCAGGAAAAGTGATGATGCGCCTATCTTCAAGCATCCTTCTGCCACCTCGTTTTTAGCTTTTAAAAAGCAGGATTAGCCCGAACTCCGGTGGAAAATTACTTTGGATAAGGCGTTTTTTAATGTTATAATGCTTAAGCTCGACTCATTTCTATCCTCTGTGAAAATAACATTTTATGCTTTTTCCAGATACAGCACTTCCCTAAATGTAGTTTAAATTGAATATATATGAGTGCTTCTTTAGTGCTTTTACATTACACCATTGAGGAAAAAAAAAACACAAAATTATCGCTTTATCATTTGCACTTAACACAAAACTAGACACAGACACACACACACACACACACACACACACAGGGCTACACATTTTAGACATGCTGCAAGTAGAGTGGCATTAAATCTGTATCTGCACTATATAATAAACTACTAATCAAAAATGTCTGGACACTCAAAGATGCATCACCTAACATTAGTCATTTACTACTGTAGCAACAGCTGCCCTGGGGCAAACTGACAGAAGCAAGTCAACCTGAATGTATCGTCATCCTGTACCAGTATGTAACCACCATCATTCAAACACACACCAGACATGTATAGGTAATGTGGGTAAATGGTCTTGCCTAAGGACACAATGTCTCCTGCCCTATAGCTTCTGATATACATATAAAAAGAATATACCAGTGCAATGGGTTCCTACTTAAAGATGATCTCCCCAAAAACACCTCACATTGTTTAAGAATGAATAAAAACTCTATGGTGTCCTGCTTGCTGTCCACACACTCCACTGAAAGGGTTAAATAAAGTCCTAAATTGTGTGGTCGATGGGGCAAGTCCAATGCTTCCTGAATGTTAAGGATTACTTGACAAAGCTGGACAAAAAAAAATCCTTTGGACCAAGCAAGCTTCAATAGAGTCCCCAAAACAGACCCAACGTCCCCAGGTTTGGGTCAATTTGAATTAACTCACAACACGCCCAAATATTTCCACGCACGCTTCAATGTGATCCCTCGGCTTCAGGAGACACTATCCGGCTAATGCTAGCAAATGACATTTAGTGAAGAGTTATTTAGATGCTATCGATGGCTGAGGGTCTCTGTGCTAAAGGGATTATCGCCAGCGTAGCCCGCGTTGAAAGCCTCCTTTGTGGGCGCAGTGTTTAGCGGGACAGGGGAGAGGTTCGGATGCCTGTGCGGAGGGTGTCAGCTATCGTGGACCCTGCCATGGCCTGCCGAGATCCTGAACCGTGGCCAAAAACCCCAGAATCTAGAGTTTCCTCCACAATGATAGGTATTCACGGGGAGACCGGCGGAGCGGCCAGTGCCTCTTGTGAGGGGAGCGAGGGTAGAGGGAGAGAGGCTGTGTGAAGGGCCGCTGCTGTTTGGAATCTGGGGTTGTTCAATAAAAGGCTGGGGCTGGATGATAGTACTTTTGAACATTTTTAGGGCTCGAGTGGACTAAAGAAATGCTAAGAGTCCACAGCATTGCTCTATGACCAGTGCTTGCCAAATCTTTTATCACATGTCTAGGTATAAGTAAGAGTAACTGTATTTATGTGATGGTGAGTCGACTTGATACAAATTTGCATATAATATCGAAATGTATTTGTTATAGCTTAATTTGGTCTAATTTTATAACTTCTACTAGACTATTAAAAGCTTCACTTCACTATTCACTATAACTTTCCATTTTACTGCTTTCCCCATAATTGTTGGGAGACTGAACTGACCAGAATGTTAAACCCTAAATATCATATTGTAGCATTTTCAAATCAATAGAATTTTTTTTAGATTAGTATTAGGTAGTAAATTAGTATATTTCTCTAATTTTCCCAATGGTTTAATGACTACTGCTTATATTTCTTCATACACATGATTTCTTGTTATTTGCTTTCTTCATCCTAAAAAGTAAATTATTATTTGTTATAAGGAAAAAGATATATATTTTTTTAAAGTTTGCCATACACCTCTTTTAAAATACAGCAGCCGCATCCCATTTGTGTCCAAAAACACGGACTCCTCCAGGGCGCAGCAGTTAATGGAAAACTAGGTCAGTTGAATACAGTATTAGACCTGCTCTGTTCCTCCCTGCTCGACGCTTTAATTAAATGTAGATGAGGAGGGGAGACAAAAACACACAGGTCCTTTCAGTCCAGCGCTGGTGGTTTTCGGGGGAGTTTCTGGGGTTAATACGGGCAAATGAAGAGATGACGCTTTGTTGAATTCATTTGTGGTTGTCAGTTTCTTTCTCACAGCAAGGGGCCTTTCCACTCGGCTGGGAAGAAGACATCCAGGAGACTGCAGGGAGGATTCACTGAATGCTCGGCTGCAATGTCTCAGCTCACCAGTTCTTTGGAGAATTCTGCTCTGAGTCGTAACTATGAGACATTTTGTATTTGCATTGGTGTATGAACTGTACTAGTAAATGTTTTACTATGCGTCTCGTCTCAAGAAATGATTACTACCCAGAGTTGATGTTGATCTTTGTAGTTCCCAAATCTGTTATGAGAGCAAATAACTATTGGGTGGAATTAATCTCATTCAATCAATGTATTAAGGTTTTAAAGTTGGGGTACACCAGCTTAAAAAAAAGAAAAGAAAAAATATGCAGAATACACACATTTTGCAAACATTTTCAACAAGGTTTGTGGGTTTTTTATTGTATGTTAGGCCATATGACACATTGGCGTATTTTAGTTATGAAAATGTATGTTCAGATGTGGAAAATAATAAAGATAATTTTTGTTTTGAAGATATGAAAAATGTAAATATCTAGTTAATTACAAATGTAGTTTAGAGTTAGACGCATAATAGAAATGCCCAAAACTCCAAATCATCAATCTGGAAGAATCATTTCTTTAAATTCAAATTAAAGAATCATATTGAATCACAATTATGAGAGATCACCAGAGCTGTATAGTCTCAATATAGATGGAAATACTTTAGTCATAATCCCCCATGTCTGGTTCAGCATATGCTACTTTACAAATTCACTGACGCAGCTCCTGTGCTTTTGCATCTTAAATGTCTAGATAATAGTTAAACATATGATACGCCAGCGTTCCCTTTACAACACCTGCTCAGGAGCAAGGAGCAGACTTAAGTGCTTTGGTCACAATAGAAGCTCCTCTACAGAACCCTCCCACTTCCTCTGGCGACCAGGCTGCACTTCCCCTCAGGTACTTGTGAACCAGACGTCAATCAGGACATAAAGACACTCAAACAGGCAAAGAATATGGAGGAATGTTGCTGTAAAAACTGTAATGACACCTTTGACTCGAGCAAAGGTATAGGTTAAAATTGAAGGCCATGTATCCATGAAGGATGGTTTGATGTGTAATAATAATAAAATGTCAGGTGTTCTTAAATGTACTCTTTTGTTTGATACATAAGAATTGAACAAGGATTGGCCATACAAGAGTGACTCATAATGGCAAGAGAAACTTTATTTAAAAAATCACATTGTAAGTCAATGTCAAATCTTCCCACTCAAGTATTTTTTTTTCTGAAGATGGGCCAACAATATTGCACCATCAATCAATTGCTGAGCGAAAAGTCAATGTATTTGGTAATTACTGTGACAGACCTCTTTTTAATAAGCCACGATTAAAAGAACGGCCTTTTCAAACTGTCATAGCACCAATTAGTGTTTGGTCTGCTTATGTTTCTTAATCATAAAGATAAGTTTGTTTTAAACATTTAGGCATGGGGTAGTTCCTCAAACCAGGACACTTTCTGCTCACCGTTCTGGCCCCTGGATTTTAGAAGCTGTTTCCAAGATTTTAGGCTCAACTTTTGTCTGTTTCCCACCGAATTTCCGCAAAAACTCTGCCGCCTAAAAAGGGTTAATAAAGCATCATCATCCAAATGAGCCATATTCCCGGTGCAGC